GGGCAGGCCCTTGGGCATGTGTTAGCACCCCCGAAAGAATTTTGTGATGTGTTCTGATAAACAACGGTATCCCCAGCATTTCTGACTTGCATTACAACCGTCCTTAAAAAAAAACCTCTAATCATGACTATTGTCTGTGAGTTCTGTGTAATTCAATGCAGTGAATTATAGAACCTAGAGAAAAGTTGAGTGCAGTGTTTGACAGCACAACATCTCCAGAAATAAAAATACGCGCATCAGTCATACGTGAGATCCCACAGTGGGTGTGTCCTGCCTAAGAGGATGGGAATTACACAGCCAGGAAGGGTGTCGCCTGGTCCTGGAAGTTCTAAGCATCCAAGGCATTCCATCTGATGGCACTGGGCAAGGCCAATGAATCTGAACCCCCTCCTTGCTGATCTAACCAAGACATCTTCAGTACAGGCTGATGGAGTGTCCACCCCCCAGTCAGGATCATGCTGAGCACTAAAGGAACAGCACAAACTAGACAGGGGCAGTCCCTGTCCTCCTGGAGCTGAAATTCGTTGTTTGTTTTCACATAGAATGGGGCCAAGTTCAAAGACAAGTCCTGCCTTAAATACTCTTCACAAGCCAAGAAGGAATAAGGCTATTGAAATAACACAGAGAGGCTAGAAAGCAGCATCAAAGGGTCGAGGGAAAAATGCAACAATAGAAAATGGAGTCCCCAGAATGCTCCTATAGCGAGGGATACTGCGAAGGGAGACAGTGGACGGTGTAAGATATGAAAATAATGATTTATAATTTATCAGGAGTCCACGAGGGTGGGCGGGGGAGGGGGTAGGGAGGGAAAAAAGAGGAGCTGATACCAAGGGCTCAAGAAGGAAGAAAATGTTTTGAAAATGATGATGGCAACATATGTACAAATGCGTTAGATACAATTGATGTATGGATTGTGATAAGAGCTGTAAGAGCCCCCAACAAAATGATTTATTAAAAAAAGAAAATGGAATTTTTCCATGAACTTGATCAAGCCCCTTGTACATTGGGGCTTAAGGCAGAAAAATTCTCTTTGGGGATGTCGAACAGGGAGATGGGGGGGCGGGGTCCTGTCTTGATGGCAAGAATATTGTCGGAAGGTGCTTCATCTTCATTGACTTGGTCATGACATCAATGGAAGGTAAAATAGCATCGTGGTTACATTGTGATTTTAGGATCCGGCCAACGGCATTCTAGTCAATCAGCTATGTAACCAGAACCAAGTTGTATGACCTTGAACGGCCTCATGAAGGGCCAGGACTCCCATAACGGCTATGAAGGTGGTCAAATGAAGAAACTAAGTGCCTAACACATCATTTTTGAAAAGCACTCAATTAAAGTGAGTTATGGTCATGGGGGACTCGTCATAAAGTCAGCGGTTCAAACCACTGCTGTAGGCGAGATAGGTGGAGCAGTGTACACCCTTAAAGATTTACAGCCGTGGATACCCTCTAGGGTGATTCTAGTCGGCCCTGCTATTATTGATGTCGGTGCCATTGGTCGGCTCCCACTCAGGATGATCCTGAGTCCGCCAGAACTGTCCGGTCCAGTCTTGCACCATCCCCACGGCTGCTGTCACTGTGCCACTGTGTCCTATGAGGCTGATGATATTAGAGACACAGTGGGCATTGTTATTGCAACTATGAAAGCGTTTAACCAAAATATCTTAATGGGCATTCCGTCTATGTCCAAGTAGACCTTGATTTATAATACTTAGTAATTCTATCCTGACATGAATTAGAGAAGATCATTTCAGACTCCAAACCCCATATTTGAAACTACTAAGGGAAATTTTTATGCAGTGAAGTTGATTGTCAGCAAACGGGCTGCTGCCATTTTATTACCCTTTGGGCATCATTTGGTTAGACATCCCTACATTTCATCACACTTGCTTGGGCAATACTTCCAATTCTGCAAACATTTTCAGATAGCATTCCTGGGCACAGGTTTCAGGAATATCAATTTCTAAAGAAAGTCCAGTTTCCCTAATACCTGGTCAAAGGAAGACATCCTGAATGCTCTTGAGGGTCAACATCAATGGAGGGGATACATCTACATACAGATCAGAGGTCAACCCTATACCCATACAGATAGGTTTAACATCAGCCACTACATTACTGGTATAATGATCAAAGGCTCAAACAGATAACTACATTCCACTAAAGGAAAGGTCAGAGAGCCTCCACTTTGGGCGCATCATTTAATAACTGCCTACCTCCCATTTTTACTTATGCAAGCTAGGAGTTTCAAGACATCAAAGGGATTTTACAGAGCTGCCCTCTCCCCTTGGATGTCTTTTGGACACAGACCTAGCTCATGGCCATTCAAACAGAGCAGATCATCAAGACAAAGCTTCATTCATGAATGAGCATGCACACGGTTTGAAACATTTTTCAATATACTCATGTCCAAATGGATTAAATGAATGCAAACAGCCAGTTACGATAAAGAGTCACTCAGAGGGGACTTCAAACAGCTCCTGGGAAAAATGGAATTAAAAGATGATAGCATCTCTCGGGACTTTGTTGAGCCTCCCTCATGTAACATGAAGAACACAGATTCCGGAACCGGAACCGATCTGAGTCCGCATCCTGGGACTGCAACTCACTGAGAGACCTACAGGGTCAAAATGATGCATGTGAATGACAGTGCGGTTAAGAATGGTGAATGTCCCACGGACTGCCCAAAGAACTAACCAATCTGTCTCGGGAGAAGTACTTCCAGAATGTTCCTTAGAGGCAAGGCGGATGAGACTTTGCCTCAACCACTTTGTACCTGGAACATGATGTCAGGAGAGACAAGTCTCCGAAGAAGGCCATCATGCTTGGCAAAGTCACAGGCAGCGAATAAGGGGAAAGCCCACAGAAAGATGGCTAGACCCAGTGGCTGCAACAGTGAGCTCACCCATGAGAAAGATCTGGAAGGATGGCACAGGATGTGGACACTGTGATGCAGAAGGTCGCTGTGAGTCAGAATCACTTCAGTGGCACACCAAGAGGAATCCCTGATGGTGGGCTTCCTGAGTAAGCACGGGACTGCTGACCACAAGGTAGGTTATTAAGTGGATTCAAACCTACTAGCGGCTTTCAGGGACATGAGATTATCAGCTCCCGTAAAGATGTACAGCCTCGGTGATCCTCTATAGCAGGGTCCTCAAACTTTTTAAACAGGGGGCCAGTTCACTGTTCCTCAGACCCGTTGGGGGGCTGGACTATAAAACTATGAACAAATTCCTATGCGCACTGAACAAGTCCGCTGCTAAGCAGGACAGGCAGGGGTGGCAAAAACACCTGGCGGGCCGGATAAATGTCCTCGGCGGGCCGCATGTGGTTTGAGGACCCCTGCTCTAGAGGGTCACTATGACTCAGAAGCAACTTGATGGGCTTAAGATGCAACGAGGACCTTCTTAATATTGCTGGGCAGACTGGACGCAGCATACACTTAGCACTACATTAGATACTCCATTCGTTTTTCTAAAATATCCAAATAATGATCATCATCGTCCTCATCAAGAGAATTTATCAACGTTCCTGCTCATGAAGAGGTCAAAAGATCCTTCCCCTCGGCATGTGTCTTCCCATCTATTGATCACTGTTTCCTGTTACTTCCCAGCCGCTGGCTCTGGCCTGTCTTACCTAAGGAATTTCTTGAGATACTGTCGGCTGCAGGCAGACCAGTAGAACATCCCATTGTTCCCCATCAGTGTGGGAGACATGATGGTGCCTTCAGCCTTTCTGCAGGGGTTGCCTTCTCCATCGTGGATCATGCCTAAGCTGGAAGAGAATGGAGGGAGGCGGAGAAACACCCTTCAAACCGAGAAGAAACCGATGCAGCGAGAATCCACAGATCCAAGGGAGGGCTCGGTTTGTTTTTGTTTTGTTAGATGACAAGGGAAGAGAAGGATCCTAATGAATTGCTTCATAACGTACTATACATTGCCAATAGAAACGGATAAAGGATGTTAAGGGCTTTGTGGTGTCTTGGCCCCAAATCAACCAATCAAAGAATGATGCCTGTGTTACACGCTTTCTAGAAAATTCCTGCCAGGCCGTTAAGCTAAGCGTTCCCTGTTGAGTTGCAGGAGATGCAGAGGGTTATTTGAAATCAAAGCAGGGAACGACGGTGGGGGCATTCTGGGTGGAAGGTGGATAGGACAGCTGGCGATAACTCGGCGAAGGGTTATTCATGCTTAAAGCTAGTGTGGCCTTTCTCCGAGATGACTGCTATGTTAACTGCAATCATAAACCCTGCTCACAAACACGTTCTAGTATAACCATAGATGGCCTGACGATGCTTGAGCCTCTCTACTGATAGCCCAGGAAGGTCTTCACCTGAATGCACGGCGCATGGCCAACTTTCCACTGGGGCGGCTGCACCACAGAAGGGTCTGGCCTTGGGAAAGTAAAAAGAACATCAGGTGGTTTGTTCCCTAGAAATCACATCCATTATAATGAAATGATTCCCAAGTCTCCTTCTATCAACAATGACTAGCATTTACTCAATGTATTTTATACATTGGAGTCCCTGGGTGGTGAAAACAGTGAATGCCCTTGACCCTTGACGGCTAACCATAAGCATGGAGCTCAGGTCCACCCAGAGGCTCTTAAAACAAAACAAAGACTTGATGACAGGCCAGTCACTGGACACCCTGTGGACCCTAGTCCTTCTCTGCTGACACAGGGAGGGGGTGGGGAGTGGCCATGAGTTGGAATTAAAGTCACGGTAACTAACTGTTCTTAGATCTCAGACACGCTTCTAAGGTTTACACAGAATGGACCCTACTTTTTCCCACCTAGATGACTAAGCATCATTAGAGGAAGGCCATTTACTCGCCAGCTCAGTTGTCATGTAAGGTGCTGAGTCCCGGGGGCCACTTACTTGTGCCCAGATTCATGAGCAATGGTGAAGGCCAGGCCGAGCCCTGTGTCCTCGTTGATGGTACAGCTGCGGGCCTTGCTGCACATTCCACTGATGGGGGCAAACCCTAGGGGAAAATACCCCTCCGATGAGAATCCAAAGGGAAACACGCAAATAAACCGTCCTTTTCCACGGTCCCAGAAGGCCCCACATAGTGTCCCTTGGATATGTCAATGCATTTCTCCCCCCGCCCCCCCTCCCCCCCCACCCTTGATAATTTATAAATTATTATTATTTTATCATATCTTACACCATCCGACGTCTCCCTCACCCAAGGAACGTAGTGATCTGTTAGCTGCTTGAAGGATGCTACCATTTGATGGGTTGAAGACAATATGAAAACGCAACCTTGCAGAGGTTTCTTGCGTTTGGAGATAATTCAACCAGCGGTCTTCTTGAGTACTCTGAAGTCAGCCTAAGTGTCATACTTCCCATCTGACGTAGGAAGGCACCGGAAGTTGGGTGGCATGTTTGTGTGTGTTATTTGGGTGAGAGCAACGACTGAGATGATATCTAAACCAATGCAAAGGATTCCCTTAATAGCTGAGCTTTGGTCAACAAA